GTTTCACCATCTTCATGCTCGTCGTCACCAGCCAGCGCCACCACGGCCACCGCGGGCTCGGAGACTTCTCGCCCTGGCTGCGCCACCATTTCGCCAAAGGAAAGAACTGGGACCTGCTCCGCAGTTGCTTGGCTCAAGCCCAGGTTTGCTCGGTTGTTAAGGGCGTCGGCCGCAAACTCCACAACTCTGCCCTAATGGTAACATAACAACACTTCCTCCAATTAATAATGCTCCACCCAAAGCACGTGTTCGTGTTCTCTCCAAATGCAAATATGATCATTTCTCTCATGTCTTGTCAATGTATTGTCACTATACGAAAACTTGTTTTTGTATCACGACACACACAGCAACAATAACTATCATGATAGCGACCATTTTGTTGCAGAAATATAGTTACGTTACGTGCCATCTCAACCGCTTTAATTAATATTGTGATGAATTTGTTTTCCTACGTACGGATGCATGTATAGGTCGGTTGCTGCAAGCCGCCGCCGGGATGTGGGGCGGAGAATAGCCTGAACGCGACACTAGCGGTTTTGCTGGCGGACCAAACTACTGCTGCAGCGGCCGCCGGGAACAAGAACGGCGACTGTGGGAAGTGGAGCGGCGACCCGAAGACGATGTGCTACAATTGCGACACGTGCAAGGCAGGGTTTCTCGGGAATATTAGGAAGCAGTGGAGGGCCGTTGCGGTGGCGCTGGCTTGCTTCCTGGCATTTATCGTCCTGCTGTTGTCCATCGCTTGGTGCGCCATCGCCAACAATAAGTTTGATCTCGCCGCTTCCAGTCCTCACCCTTGAGTTTCAAGCCCGATCGATCTTCTCGCATGCGTGGATTAATAATGGCTCTTTAATTAATATTATTATTACTATTACTATTCTCGTACAATGCACATTTTGGTTATCTTCTCTTTCAGTTTGTTGCCCATATGAATTTCCACTTTTTCTTTTGCTGGCCAGTGACTTTTGTAATGTCGTTTCTGTTTTGTTGAATTCATATGTTAGATCTGCTTTCATTTTTTTTTTAATTTCCTTGTGATAAGAAACGTGAAACTTTTTTGGGTCATATTTAAAACTTCTTATTCATGCTTGGGGCTTTTGTGTCCCCAAGCTTTATATAATCGCCCTAACTTACAAATCATTATTATCCTTTTATCCTTCTTGCCCTAATTTATTTTAACGAACATAATCACCACAAAACAACTGTTTTAATTTCCACCACCACAACCCCACTCCGTCGGCCGCCACCTTGACAATCGAATAAAATAACTTGATCGGAAACAATGTAATCGGGATCAACCACTTCTATATTGCATCATCGGCCAACCCGCATCTTATTGGATTAGTATGCTGCATAAAAAAAATAGAAAATCAAACTCAATCAAGAAAATGTTGACGGGGCAATATTGGCGGAAGCTTCTTTCCATAGCTCATCAATTCAAGAAAGAATTGCATAATCAGATTAAGGGTTTTGGGAGACGCAGAAACATGCAAGTGGTGGATTATACGAATTGGTTTGGAGGCTGTTACCCGCTACGGTGCATCCTTTTGCGGCTGGGTGGTGTTGTCGTGCAGCTAATGAATTGAAGAAAAAAGTGTAGACGACGGCGAGGAGAAACTGTAGGCGGATTGCAAGGATGCTGGCGGCAGAGAGAGTTTGGAGGGGATGTCGGTGGTGTCGAAGGTTATTACGGATTTTAATGACTATTTATTTTATTAAATTTAGTTTGTTTAATGAAGGGCAATTCAGTAGTTTTACCTTTTATGTCAGGGCGATAATAGTAAAACTAGGGCGGCATTTAGTCGTCCAGTTTATATTAACTAGAAGCAATTTTTTTAGAGATTGCTAATTGTCGCCATAGCTTATGTCAATCACCCTAATTTTAAAAATTAGAATTATCACTTTATCCTTTTTATTGTTAAATAATATTTTATTCTAACAAAAAGTCATCGTTACAGTTCTATTTTCACCATGCGTAACTATTGGGACTCGATTTGGGCTTGGTTATTTTATTATTTAATATTTTAGTAGTAATTGTCTTATTATTGTTTTCATTATTTAAGTAGGATTTGGTTTATTATTTAGCAGTTTATTATATTTCCTTGTAGATTGGGCTTCATGTTTTTGGGAGGAAAAAGGAGAAGGTTGCCAGCCTATTAGGAGAAGGATTGGTATTTTGTGTTTTCCTAGCCTATAAATATGTACTCTGTCTTTAGTTTAATGTCATGTTGAAGATTGGAATCCAATAGTAGTTGTAGTTATCTTTGTTCCTCTGAATATTCTCTTCGTTCTAACTCTACTTCCTACATATATTATCTTTCATCATCGACGAGCGTTGCTTGAAGTTTCTCACCGGAGAAATACACATAACAAAAAACCCTAGAATATTCTCTTTCGTGGGGAGTAAGTCACATTTAATTAGTAAGATACTTGCTTCCATAATTAAAATACATTCTATTAAGATAATTAACTCTAATTATCTTTATAATATTCCTTTTATTAATTATTCTTCTTATTTTCATATATAGAAATATACTTGATAAATAATTAGAAATTTCATTTACAGCTTTTCAAAGCTATTCATCCCAACAGGTGCAAACGTGAAGTTTCTCTACGTATATCTTTCATCACCGGCGAGCGTTGCGTGAAGTTTCTCACCAGAGAAATACACGTAACAAAAAACCCTAGAATATTCTCTCTTTCGTGGGGAGTAAGTCACATTTAATTAGTAAGATAATTACTTCCATAATTAAAATATGTTCTATTAAGATAATTAACTCTATTATCTTCATAATATTCCTTTTATTAATTATTCTTCTTATTTTCATATATAAAAATATACTTGATAATTAATTAGAAATTTCATTTATAGCTTTCAAATCTATTCATCCCACCAGGTGCAAACGTGAATGCATAGGAAGTATGAAAAACTAAAATGGTGAATTTTTTTTTGTCGAAAGAGGTCGCTTGTATTACCCAAGAAAATTAAAGTTACATCAACCAGACTTCCGAGCACAGCCACGCTCGAAAATCAAAACTAACACGCCCAGCAGGAAACAAATCCAGGGCTTTTTTTTACCACCAAATGGGTCATCATATTGTTCTATCTACCTACAAACTTAACCATGAATTGCGAGAACTCATCCAAAGGCAGACGAACTTTGAGTAAAATTGCCCCACCCCTCGCATCTCTGCTGATCCCTGCATTTACTTTGTCAACCACCACCTTGGCGTCTTCAGAACTGAACACTCTGAAATCCTGCCTCCGCACACCACCGAATTGCATCTCGTAAAGCCGTCAATTGTACCACCAAAATGGTAAAATATAAATAGAGAAATAGTTTATTATATTTTGTAGATATATACTATTATTTCTTTGCTGTGATCTTAATCTTGGGACCGGTTATTGTAACAACACCCATTGTGTTGTTATTGTAACAACACTAGTCCCCAACCAATAGGAAGCTAGGATTGTGATGACTTTTTATTAAATGAGTTGACCTAGTGTAAAATCAAAGCAGGGGTATAATTGTCATTATGAAAAATCTATTTAAATAAAAAAATAAAAAAGTAAAAAAATTATTTTTATTTTCTGCCCAAAAATTTGGTCGTCGGAATTCTGCCACCGGTCGCCGGAAAATGGTCGTCGGTCACCGGAATATGCCTTTTGTTGCCGGAATATGCTATTTTGTGGCCGGAATATGCTTACCGGAGTCGGAATATGCTTACCGGCGTCGGAATATGCTTACCGGCGTCGGAATCTAGTCACCGGGGCCGGAATATGCCTATCGGCGTCGGAATCTGCTCACTGACGGTCACCGGAGTTCGGTCAAAGGTCTTCGTTGACCGGTCAACGGTCAACGACCACCGGATGTTATGGTCTGCATTGTGAGATTTATGGTTAGGTTTCTCATATCTTTTTATGCCTTTTATGGTTTGTTTTATTGTGTTTGTGGTTTGCATTGAGAAGTTTCTGGTTTGCTTTATCGTGTTTGTGGTTTGCATTGAGAAGTTTCTGGTTTGCTTTCCAAAACTTTGTGGTTTGCATTATGAGGTTTCTGGTTTGTTTTAATATATTTGTGGTCTGCATTAGGACGTTTATGGTTTGCTTTTTTGTGGTTTGGTTTACTGTATTTGTGGTTTGCATTATGAGGTTTCTGGTGTGCTTTCGCAAATGTTGTGGTTTGCTTTGTGAGGTTTGTAGTTTGTTTTAGGAGATTTGTGGTATGCATTAGGAGGTTTCTGGTTTGCATTACGAAGTTTCTGGTGTGCTTTCGAAACTTTTCTGGTTTGCTTTGCGAGGTTTCTGGTTTGTTTTAATATATTTGTGGTCTGCATTATGACGTTTTTGGTTTGCTTTACCGTGTTTGTGGTTTGCATAAGGGGGTTTCTGGTGTGCTTTGCAAAATATTTATGGTTTGCTTTATGGGGTTTCTGATATGTTTTAGCGAATTTGTGATTTGCATTAGGAGGTTTCCGGTATGTTTTTTGTGGGTTGTTATATTGTGTTTGTGGTTTGCACTAGATATGGAGTTTTTGGTGTTAAAAATATTTGTGATTAGAATTACTAAACACCAATATAGAATTTCTATATAGAGTTTCACTTGACACCTACCCATGGCCTAATCTAATTACACACATAGCTCTCTCTCTAGGCCATCGTTTCTGATTTTCCATGATCAGAAGAATTTGGGCAATTCTCATCACTTTTAGCCCCCTGAGAAATCTCCATCATCTGCCGAAGAAAGGAAGTAGAATTCGCAATTAAACCCAAAAGAATCCATAAAAATAAGACAAAGGGTCAGAATCGGCCAATATCAAAGTGAAGCAAAAAATATCACCACAAAGCGAATCGCCAAACACCATAAGAGGCACCCAAGGAGGCGTACTGTCTGCCTTAACCAAACTGCTGCTACAGCGTCATCACCAAAAGCCCCCTCCTCCCCCCGCCGCCGCCGCCACGTCCGTGCCGATCACGCGCCTCACCCTCCCCGTCATCATCACCAGAAGATCACACGCAAACATTCCAGATCGACACCCAACCTGATAACCAGACGACCATCCCGGTCAATGGAGGGCCGACCTTTTTCGCCGCCCCAAATCGCGGTACCCATCACCCCTACAATCGCAATCCCTAGAAACCCCCTGTTCTTCTTGCTCTTGCAGCTGAAATCCAGCACCTGCCCGATTGCAAACGCGCCCACCATCTGCGCTCCCCAGTAGAACACATTGTTCAATCCGCGCGTCCTGACGTTGAATTTCGCGGCGTTCACGTTGTTGAGCTGGTAGGTGTAGAAGAAATTGGACGCCCAGGCCGCCGGCGCGATTAAAAGCATCTTCCAGTTCCCGAAGAGTTTGAGAATCTCAATTGCTTCCGTTGAGGGTTTGGAGTATTTGATTTTGGTACACTGGCTGTCGTCCTCGCGGATTACTCTGCTCTCGATTTGAGTGACGATGGAGAGACGACGGAGTTGGAACTACGGTGAAGGTTTTGATTTTTCAGGGCCGGCAAGGGAGAAGGAAAAACGAGATCCACCGCCTGTGGTTCAGAGCGAAGGAGAAAATGCTTAGGATTAATTTTTATTTATTATTGTTATTGTTAATTTACCCTTTTACCCTTAATGAATTCTATTGTTATTATAACAACAAAAAGAGTGTTGTTATACTATCCGGACCCCTTAATCTTTCAGCATGATGAAAGGTTTTTCTTTGAAATGGATATTGTTTCGATGGCGAAACTCCCGTGTTCAATGCAGCTCTGTTCTCAAGAAAAATAAGAAATCGAATACAATTAACCAAACAATTGTTATTCAGTTCACCACCTCTCCAAACTACGTTCGAACGAGGGTGTTCGACGAATAACCAGAAACCAAACCAGGAGTTCTAAGTTACCTTACCACTACTCCCATGGAGGTTCCTCTAGAGAGCTCCGCGACTACAACTACGATAAAGACTACGATTTACGAATATGCAAAGGAAATATTTGACAGAGCGGTTCAACGAACTAGAGGGAAAAAAGGATAACTTGAGACAAGGCAGTTTGTGATTTCATTTTGCCGTCCTGAGCTTCTCTCTCCTCCGCTCCGTCTTTGTCTCCCACTTTCTCTGTTACTCTCCACCACGTTGGTAACTTCCACTTCGTTGCATGCTTCCCACGCATTTGAAATCGTTATGTAGAGACTTAGCAAAACAACGTTGAGCCACCCTTGTAGTTATCCACCTGGGTTCGATAATCCACCTCGGCTCCTCAAGCCAAACAACATTCATCCTTGTTCATAAAACGGTGTCGTAGCACAAACAACACCGCAGTGCTGAGCTTCCAGCATTGCAACATCGACACATTCACAACATCAATGCCACTTTCGATGGTGACTCATGGCTTACGGCGTTGCTCTCTAAACAACGTCGTTCTTAGCATCCCGACATCATCGAATTCCTTGATGCCCGAACTTTATTGAATTCACGGTGTTGTTGAGTTTCTCAACACTGAACCAATGCTCATCAACGTCGCCGAGCTCACAACCTTGTTTTGGGCAAAACAACATCACTTTCACGGCATTGTTAAATTTTTGCAACATTGTTTTTTACTAAACAATGTCATTTTATCACGGCGTTGTTGGGTCACCTCGCGACGTCGTTGAGATTGCAACTTCGGCCTCGTTGACCTCACAACCCCAATTTGACAGACAACGCAGTATTGCTAGACTTCAGTAACAAGGTCACATTTGAAACCATGACGTTGCTTTCAACTAAACAACGTTGTCTCTTTCCTAGTACCGCGATGTTGTTTTTACCTTCCACGGTGTCATTTGTTCAACTAAATGGGCACTGTTTAAAATAATTATTGAAAATATCAATTTATTAAACCAACCATTATTATTGACACACCGTCAAACTCTCACCCTCGGGGCCGTTTGTAGTTAAACAACATCGTTTTCTCGTCCTGCGATGCCATTTAACCTTTATGCGGCTTCGCTTTTCACTAATCAATGTCGGCCTTGTTGTCCATCAAACATCGTTGTTTTCCATTTCGCGACATTGTTCAGCCTCGCGCGACATCGTTAAACTTGTAACCTCGCTAGCTTCATAAAACTCGGCACCGTTTGACATCATTGTTGAGGTCGCGATGTCGCGACTTTGCTTCACTTTAGTCTACGACGACATCGAGCTCTTGAACTGAACTCTAGCTGACTCACTCCTACTGTCACTCTAGAAAATGGCCAAGTGTAACCACTTCCTAAAGCGTAGTATAGTGGGTTTGGGTTTTATTGTCAACCCGGGTCCTAGATGTGATGACTACTCGGTGAATTCTTGTTATTTAGCGGTGAACTTTTAGTGCAACTCAAGCAAACAAAACACAAAGCAAGTAAACGGTTGTTGTCAACTCAAGAGAGGTCACCCGGATATGGTTCCCCCTAGACTGCAGTTAAGTCGGATTGCAATTTACCAAGTTCAGTTTTCATGAAAGTTATACTGCGGAAGGTTCTCAATTAGCCTGAAGTCTCGACTAAAGGTCTCCAGACCCTCTCAATCTGAGTCTCTAGCGGGCGACTAACCTCCACCGGAGTAAATAGATTGAGGCCCTAATGAACCAAACCTCCACTACCGAATTAACTTCGGTACAGAATAGCGAATTGGCTCCTCGACTAAAGTCACCAATTCGCCACCTTCGATTAAGGGTACTCTATCAACCTAGGCAGATATTCTCATTCCAGGTCAAAGCAGAAACAACAGGAATTTGATCAGGATTCAAGTCATTCAATCATTCAAACCTCAATCGAATATAATCAATTCACAAACTCTGTACTTGGGTTCATACAATCAGACCTAGCATACAAATCTAGGGTTCCCCATACCCAGATGAATGGGGAAACTACTCCATGGAGAAAGAAGCAAAAGCAGATTCAGACGCGGAAATCATACTGTGAAGTTGGATTTCTACTCCTGGACGTTTAATCGCACTTCTCCAAGCTCAAACCGGGCTCCAATGGTGTTGAAGATCGATCTATGGCGCTTGGGAACTCTGGTTCGTCGCTTTCTCTCTCTAGGTATCGCTTTCTCTCTCAAAAACTCGGAACCCTTTGAAAATTGGCCTTCTTTCTCTTTTATCAGCTGCCCTCGCGATACCCGGTCGAAATACCCGGCCGGGTATTTTTGGGTTCGACCGGGTATTGTCCAAACGCGTCATTTCACTAAAGGGGAAAATCCCCGGTCTGATCTCAAAATCCCCGACCGGGGATTTTAGGCCATCGCCCGGGCCCCCTTCTGCTTCTCACGGGTGCCGAAAACGATAAATACCCGGTCGGGTATTTTGCCATCCGACCGGGTATTTTCCTCCTGCAACCCCCTTAGTCCCAACTCGGCTCCTTTCGACCCAGAACTCGTTTCTCCGCCTCGATTCCTCAGCCGGGACCTGAAATATGACACAAACACACAACCTAGCGTAAAATCGGCTTAAAACACGAGATTCCTCAGCACAAACGGCTCCAGAATAGGGGTAAAAATATGTATAATTATCGGTCTATCAAACTCCCCCACACTTAACCGTTTGCTTGTCCCCAAGCAAACCTAACTCAAACCAATGCAACTCTCCAGACCTCTATAGCAACAAACAACCTCGATCGTAGGTAGAGGACTTCCTAGATCATTTAGCAACTTACGAGGTCAACCGACGCACAAGTCATCTCATAGCTTCTTCGGCGAGAGCACTAGTCTCGAGTCAGCATCATGGCAAATAGTGAACAGAGGACAAATGAATCGTGGATGAGGAGACTCTCACAAACAAAAGATCATGGACTCACATTTTTCAAGGTGCTCGATTTTCTTCTTGGAGATGGTTGGAACCCCTTTTCTTTCTTCTTTTTGCTTGTTTTTCTGTTTTTCTCTTTTTTTTCAAGGGTTCCAACCTGTTTTTGCAGAAAACGAGGGCTCCCACCTAGCAAAGGTTTTGCGGGAGCCCGGCTCTTACCGGCCATGCCAGGAGCAGTTGTCTCGAGCCTCGTGCGGGGGAAAGACATGTAAGGGGGGCTGGAGGTAGTAGGTGGAAATTGGGAACGGATTCCCGTCTCCCCTTACACACTTTCGCCCTATTCGCACGGGAGACGTTATTTTAAAGCACATTTTCGAGCACCTGTTACATTCAGACATGATACAAGAGTCCATGACAGGCAGAGAGTCCACGACACCACACAATTCAAGGGTCCTAAGATCACTAATTCACTCAATCAACCAACACAATATGAAGAAGAAATGAGACTTCTTAAATGCATCAACATCCTCCATAGTGCTACACTACCTCCCTAGGTTGCAAATCACTACAGAGACTGTCAATTCAAAGCATACTGAGCAGGCAATTGCAAGGAACACGTACTTGGAGCCCTCAAATTTAAAAATTTGGACAGGGGACTAGGCTCCAAGCACACACAAACAGATCTAATGCAGTCAAAAGATAAACATCCCCCCCACACTTAAGATCGACATTGCCCTCAATGGAGAAGAGGGAAGGAAAGGGGAACGATGTTACCGGTATGCACGGATTGCAGAAGACTGGAAATGGACCAGTCGGGAACACAGCACAGCTCAAGGGGAACAGAAGGCCTCAACCAGAATATGTTAGGTCCGATGTCAGCCCAATAAGACATCATCCAGAACAAAGGAAACAAACCAAAACAAAACAAAATCGCAATCCGACTCGAAACATAAGAAAGAAAGTCAAACCGTGGTGGGGTTGCCTCCCCACAAGCGCTTCTTTACCGTCTTTTAGCTGGACGCCCATGGTGGATACTCAGGGAGGTGCAGGAACAGGTGCCTCCAAGAGCGGATCCACATCGCTCTTGAGGAACAGCTTCAGGTGGTGACCGTGCACCCGACGGTTGCAACCACCAGCATCGGTCAGCTCGACCTGGCCATCCGGCAAGATGCAGGCGAGTGAGTACTCGGAGGGCCAGGGTGGTCGTGGTGCAGGGGGTGGGACCAGCTCATAGTGGTCTCCACTCTTCTTCCGTGCCGGCTTAGCCACCTGCGGCTTCGGTCGCCAATCCTCCTTGAGCTTTTTGTTCGGAGACGAGACTGGATGGAGTGGTGACGAAGGAATGATAGGCGGGTCCTGCAAAATGAGAGGTGCAGAAGGGTACACGACAGGCTCGTGTACCTGATCAGAAATGGCATGCACCGGCGATACAGAAATCATAGCACAATGATCAAACTCAGTCACAGGAAAAATAGCCTGTTCATTTCCAGCACGCAGGATCAGTTTACCATCATGCACATCAATCAGTGCCTTGGCGGTGGCAAGAAATGGTCTACCCAGAATCAAAGGCACATCCACATCATCATTTATATCTAGAATAACAAAATCAACAGGATATGTGAATGCACCCACATTAACAAGCAAATCTTCTATGATACCCCTAGGATGCACCACGGAACGATCAGCTAGCTGAATGCTCATCCTAGTAGGGCT